ATCATCAACGCAATGATATTAATCGTTGTTCTGTTAAACAGAAAAAAAAAATAATAATAATAACAACGCACACTTTTACATTATTTTAGATTCATGTAGTCAAATGGATCAATTTATTTTCTATGTTATTCTAATACTAAGTTTATTTCAGTCAATTCAATCGAATAATAATAAAAATAATAATAATAATAATATTGCTTATAATATTCCGGATCCAGGTTAAATATTATTTTTCTTATTTTTGTTAAATATTCTAATCTTCATAGATTGTACTGGTGTATTTAATTCATGTACGGATGCTGATAAAGAACGACTTGGTCGTCAGGCGATAAAATCAATACATGAACAGATGGATGATGATAAAGATGGATTGATTGAAGCATCTGAAAGTCGTGATGTAAAATATCTTTTTGTTTTTTTTATTAAATGATATTTGAAAAAAAAAAAAAGAAATTATTTTAGTTTATTCATGAAGAATTAGAATCTAAAACTGATTCAGTACGACATCGTCGTTTTCAAAATGCTGATTTACAAATAACATTTGATGATTTATGGACACAATGGAAAAATAATCCAGGTTTGTTAAGTTTTCTAAAAAAAGAAGAATATTCTTTTTTTTTGTTTAAAGTTTATAATTGGACTAATGATGATGTTATTAATTGGCTTGTTAATAATGTTCATTTATCAATGTATGTTGAATATTTTCGTCGAAATCAAATTGATGGTCGAACGATTCCAAGGTTAGATTTCTTTTTTCGATTTATCTATATTCTGCTTTTTTTTCTATTATGATTAGATTAGCAGCAAATGAAAAACAATATCTTTCAACAATTTTGCAAATACGTGATCCAAGACATAAACGACGTTTAATTATCAAAGCTACAGATATAGTTTTATTTGGTCCACCACAACGTATATTATTTAATCTTGTCATTTTTCATTTAATGATCATATTGTATTAATTTAGGAATTCATAGTTATATCAAAGATATTATTTTAATATCAGCATTATTAATATCTGTTGCTGCTTGTCTCTATGCGTTTATTCGGCATCGTAAAACTCAAGAAAGTATGAATTTAATGTTAAAAGAACTTGAAACATTACAAAAAGCTGAAGGTGATTTAATTGCTGTAACTGGAAAGTAAGAAGAAAATGAAATTCTTTTTTTTGTTTTTTCATAAAAATAATTTTCTATTTCTATAGAATGAAAGCTATGGAGAATGAATTACAAGATACACCAAAAGTTGATCGAGGATTATTAAATGCTTGGTTTATTGAAGTACAACGATCTAAAGTAAATAATAAATACTTTTTCTTACGAAAGCAAATATATATATATACATTTATCATTTTAATCGAAAAATTATTTTTGGAAATGTTATGATAAAATGACGAAAAATATTTTTAATTAATGAATTTATAACTATTTAACTCTGAATAATACACATTGATTATTGTCTGAATTGATTAATTTTTTGTTTTTAGGAAGAAGCTGATAAATATCGAAAACGTCGTAATACAACAGCTGATAATGATAAACAACTTCGTTTAGCTATTCAAGAAATTGAACAAGTAATTTATTTACAAAAAAAAAACAATGAAATATATATATTTTCTACTCATATTTATTGTTTTTTTTTTTCTTGAATAGCTTCGTATTGCATTACGTAAAGCAGAAGAACATGCTCGTCATCAATCGTATGAAGCACCAACAGAATTAATCGATTTATTGAAACGTACTTATCATATTGAAGAAGCAGCTTTTGAAATAAAACGTAAATCAGCTGAAAGTGCAATGCTAACAGCTAAAGAACAGGTAGAAATTTATTCATACATTTTGTTTTTTTTAATCAAATATTAAAAATGATTAGATGAATAAAATTTCAAAAATGCAAAAAGGTTTCTTCGGTGCTGTACGTATTGCTCATACAGGTTGTATGGATAATATTAGTGAATTAATTAATGCAGCTAAGTTAGTTATTTATCTTTTTTTTGTTTTTTTTTGTTTTAATAAAGTTTTATTTTATTTAGAGAACGATTAGCAGAAGTTCATGATGAATATGAAGAACGTGAACAACGTTGGAATAGAATTGCATCATTACTCGATCGTAGTGATTTAGTTTGTACATCAACTATACCAAATGGTAATTAATATTCAATAATAGAAAAATTATTTTTATTTATATTTCATTTCTATAATAATAATAATAATTAGATTCGACTAATCGATCAAAACCAGCATCACTTGAACCGACTGGCTTACTTAGTTCAAATAATGATTCAACATCAATTGGTAAACCAAGCAGGTACGATAAAATCTATTTTTAAATAAATCAAATAGACCTTTTTAATCATAGAGGCAAATATTACATTTGAAATAATAGATTTAAAAATATGAAAAATAAAACATATGATATCAATATTAGGTCTTTGATACTTTTCTCCCATAACCTTTACAGAGAAAAATAGGCAATTAAATGAAATATACAATGTCAATAATATTAATATAATCGAATATTTTCTTTGCAATATAGATTATTTTAACAAAATGCAATCGATTCATTCAAAGAATCTAAGGGATTGATCAATTTTTTTTTGTGCACATTAATCCCAATATTTGTCTATTGATAAAACTATCAAAATTCTATATATGGGTAAAATCAGCGAAAACGGGACATTCCCCCATTGCATTTGAATGCAATTCTCTATCAGTATAGATGTTTTGAGTGAATTGTTTTTGCATAGGCTTATGTAAAATTGTCTGCTCTTTCATATGATTAATAATTAATTAATTAACTAATTAATAATTAACTAATTAAGAAGTAATTAGCGAATATCTCGAGAACCGAATGAGGAAAAAGCTTGAAAACTTCAGGATTGGCTCTAGGGTATGAGCCGCATATATGGTAAAATTTTCATCGATATCGGACTTCAAAAAGTTCCTTCCAAAAAATCGACCTTTCAGAGCCGTTAGACAGAGCGGAAATGGAAATGTTTGTCTTAGTATTATTCTAGGACCTCCTACCATTAATATGAGCCCCTTGGAATCAATTTCGAACTTTTCAGTTCGTTACCAGAGCATTCGATCAGTAGTGTAGTCGTACTCAGTCACGTCGCTAACAAAGTTGTCACGTCGCTAACGCCAAATAGATTTTATTTTTTTAAAAACCTAAACATTCTCAAAATAATTTTACACTGGGATTTGGTGGCCTTAGGAGTGGTGTCTAGTATCGCGTATTAAGTTTTTGACAATTGTGCAACACTTAGAAATTTTTAAAAACCAAAGTATATCAAGTGACTTTTGATGTCCTTTTTGGTGTCACATCGCTAACGCTAGTTTTTCGTTAATAACTCCTCTGAACAAAGCTCTAGAGTATTGTTTTTTTCATAGTATCTAGAGTAAATAGAGACTCGTACACCATTCAAAAATCACACCTAAACTAGTTGATAGTGCCGAGATATGCATACTCCAAGTTTACGATGTCACGTCGCTAACGAATGATTCTACCCATATATATATGCGTCACATCATACATTCAAGTATTCCCCACCCATTGAGAATCTTCTTCTCATCATATATCTAAAAACTAACTATGATTGATTTTACAATCTCATATCTTCCACTAAATATTATACGCCGATAAACCGTTCGGTACAATGTGCACTATACCGACGATATTTGCCGATAGTGACAAAAAAAAAGCATGTCAGTACACCGGCGATAGTTTTGATACTTGAACGCGGTTGGTTATCTTTTGACCGTGGTATATCGACAATCTACTGTTGGTATACCGATGATAGTGCAAACAAATATGCAAAATGATTTAATGTAAAACTAACTGAACTTTAGGTAAAATCAAATTATTCCATATGTCCTATGAAATATCATTTGAGTTCATCAAATGATTTAATTTTATATTCAAAATGATTTAGATAAATAACTTGAGTATTTTTTTATAAGCTCGTTGTTAATGAGTGGAATTTTGAATAATAAATTTTTTGATTAGAAAAAACAAAATATATATGTATATCTATAATTGAATTTATTTCAAATAATGCCTGATCATAGGATTGAATAAAATGTTGGTATCTAAAATCAATTTGATCTTTAGTTTTTTTTTGACATTTTATTTATAACTATTGTTATCTTTTATCAATGATTATAAATATTTGTTCTTTTTTTTTGTTTTTAGTAATTTCTATAATAGAGGATTAACAGGAAATTCTCAACAAGATACAATTAGTCAAACTGATAATGGACTTGAAATGTCAAATTCTCCATCAGCAATCTTAAGAAATCGTTTTATGGTGAATTGTCGTCAAGCAAATGAACATCAACCTAATAATTCACCAATACTTTATTCAAAATCATCAAATTCTCTCAATGATTTAAATCGAAATACAATAAATTATAATCGTCCAAATACTTATGACTCACTTGGAAATACATTACCATCAAAACAAACAAAATCATCATATGAACCTATAAGTGATCGTCAATTTTCTCATAATGATTCTATATCTGATGATCAACAAACACAATTAGATGGAAATTCACAAATAATAAATTCATCAATTGATGATCGTCGATCATTACCATCATTAGAAAAAACACGAAAACATATTATATCAACGAAATTTTTTAAACCATTTCAAAATATACGTTTTAGAAAAAAAATTAGCACTTCATGAAGAAAAAAGAAAAGAATGTTTTTTTTTTTACGTAGCCGGTGCTGATTTATCAATCTCAATTCATCCTTCGTTTTTTTTTTTTTTTCTTTCTGTATTATTCCAACTGTTCTTAGCACATCTTATTCTCGTTTCTCACTATTGCTTGTATAATTTCTTCTTTTTTTTTTTTATTTAACTGGTAATATGTTTTGTTGTTTATATGATAATAAGGAATGAATAGAGAAAAACATCTATGGTAGAATGATAAATCATCTTTCGATATTTATTTGAATTTATTTATTTTTTTTTTTGTGTCAAATAGATTCAGATGACGTTAAAACTAACTAGACGTTTTATTTGTCAATTATTTGTACGACGTTTTGCATCAAATAATTCTTCGATAACACCGATTGATCCGAATAAAGATTTAACAATAAAAAAACCATCAGAAATATCGACAAAAAAACGTGCTTTTACATTAATTAATCCACAAACAGTACATCAAATAAAACGAATTGATGATGTACCAATTCAAAATGAAATGGATTTCATTCGACATCGACTAACAGAAAAACGTAAGTATCTTTGAGATAAATGAAAATTTTTTTTTGTTTTATATCTTATATAAAATGTTCAGAATAGCAAACAAATGAGTTTTTTGAGTATCAAAATATGATTATACTATTGTAAAATTATTGAATAAAACGATGTATGATGCAAGAAGCAAAACTCAATTGTCGTGTTACTCAACTTACAATCTTATCTAGGGTATGAAGTTGAAGGCAGGCTTATCTCGAACAATCTTTAATATTACTTTACTAATCTTTTTCCATTTTTAAAATGCTTTTATCTTCAATAACATTAAAACAAACAATTCACTTGAGTAGAAGAATAAGCCGATCGGCTGTGCCACCATAGCTCAGATGATCTAGACATGGCATAAAAATAGATACTCGATTCTTGAAAGTTTTTGATATTATAGATCAATTTTCGAAGAAGTTTTTTTTTACATGTGAAAAAATAAATTAGATTTTTTATCTGTTTTATTGCCGTTTTTTCCTACATAAGCGAGTATCAATCGATATCGTATCTCAAGATTGTAACGCGTTTCATAGCTGTCATGATTACCATCGAGTGAAAGCCAAATAATCTGATTAAAGTAATGTCAATTGAATCGCTTTTTAATTAATTTGAAATCGATTAGAATTATAACTTTTTACATAGTTTGTCTAATTTCTTTTTAGTCAGTTTTCTATATTTTTCATTTCAAAATCTTTCAAAGTCAAAAAAATTTTAAAAAGAGTCATCAAAAGCTTTAGCTACTGCCGCCGATCAATGCATTGACTTACGAAGAAACGTCTTCAGATGTCTCCTTCCAATTTCAATGATACGTTTTTTTCTATAGATACAACATAGTGTTCTAGTAAAAATCTAAAAGAATTTTGGTTCCTATTGAGTATCGAATTTTTAATATGTCTATTTTCTAAAGGACCATAGGCTTTTGGAAAACTTGATTCCATGACAGTTGCTCTCGCGATACCTGCTTTCCATATTAAGACCCATCCACATTCCGACTCTGAAAAGCTTTACATCTCGAAGAGAATTTGTTCAAAACTTCTAAGTTTTTTATGGAAGCTAGTCTAGTTGAGTTCTCTATATGCACAAAGTTTTAGATCAAAATTCGACAGTTTATGAGGGAATCCTCCAAGTGCCAAATCGCTTTTAGACTGAGACAATGTTCATTTGATGAATATTAGTGAATAACGGCAAAGTGTAGAGTGCTTTGGCTTTTCGATCATTCGTTCTTGAGATATCAAAATTTTACTAGATTTTTCGACAAAAAGTTGTGATGCCTCTCAGGTCAGATGGAAAATCGAATTTCAACTTCGAACTTTGCATGAACAAAGTTCTTAATGAGATTAGTTGATTGTACAACTTTTAGCTTTTCGAGTATCTCCTATCCTGCGATATTCAATATTCGAAATTCTCTTATTTGTAAAAGCAAATTTTGTTCATATATTTACATCTCGAGAAAGGAAACACTAGAAAAGCTAAAAATTGCACAATCAACTAATCTGATAAAATTTGAAATCAAAACTCGAAAGTTGATTTTTCATGTGATCTTAGGGAAATCACAGCTTTTCGTTGGAAAGTCCAGTAAAATTTTTCTATCTCACGAACAAAAGCTCAAAAAATCCAAAAATTCATGCCTTTTCGATTACTCACTAATACTCATCAGATAAACATTGTCTCAATCAAAAAAGCAATTTGACACTTGAAGTGATTTCCTTGTCAGACCTCTTTTCTTAAGTGGTATTTCCATGAGATGATAAGTTTCTATTACTAATAAATTCAGATGGAATGACTATGAAAAAAAATTGCGTGAAGATTTAATTCAATACATTGAGATATAAGTACAGGAGATTGATTTTAATATAAAAAGAATATAGAAATGGTATTTATATTTTTGGCGTTGACTTGGATGAGAAAATGTCTTTCCATTTAATATATAGTTCTAGTAAAAATAAGTTTCTTAATCCAATCCTACGCCAAACTATGGATTGCACTTCTTCGATTGAATGTATATAAATGAACTTTAGCTACAGATCATCTGTTAAATTCCTCTATGATAAGTCAATTTTGAGACAGTTTAATATATATATTTATATGTATATATAATTTATAGGAGTTAAGAATATTCCAATCGAAACTGATATTCTTATTATTGGTGTAAGTATATAACCTTGTTTTTCTTCATATTTTTTTTTAAAAATAATTCTTTAAATCTAGGGTGCTATTAAAGGTTCTGCAATAGCTTTTTTTCTTAAACAACGTGCACCTGATCTCAAAGTAACTATTCTTGAACGTGATTGGAATGTAAGATAAAACATAACAAAAATATTTCTTTTATTATATATTTATAATTTAGTATACAACTTCAAGTACCGTCCTTTCTGCTGGTGGTTTACGTCAACAATTTGCACTTGTAATTATTTGACTTTATATTTAATAAATCATAATAATAATTGTTTTGTTTCTAGGAAGAAAATATACAAATGTCTATATATGGTGCTGAATTTTTGAAACATATTCGTGATCATTTATCTATACTTGGTAAAATAAGATTTATCTAATTCATTTGTCTTTGTTTATTTTTTTTTTTTAATTATTATTTTCAATTTAGATAATGATCCAGTACCTGTTTCATTTCATCATAATGGTTATTTATTATGTGGAAGTGAAAAAAGTGTTAAACTTTTTGAAGAAAATTATCAAACACAAACGTAAGAACTCTTGTATATTTAGTTTTTATTACTTTTTTGCATTTATAAATAATATTGATTGAATAGAAAGGAAGATCTCTTGTACTTACGCATGAATAGTGTCTACTCTCAAACAACATAGTATTATTTTCGATATTTTTGACTTTCGAAGTTTTTTCATTCTATCAAATTGATGTGGATCCTATTCATAGTTTAGATCTTTAGGAGCAAAATTAAAATTATTGACACCAAATATGTTAAAAAAACAATTTCCTTGGTTAAATACAGATGGTATTGAAATTGGTTGTTTTGGTAAAATTAAATTAGATTATATTTTAATTAATTCAAATTGATTGCATTTTAGGTATTCAAAATGAAGGTTGGTTAGATCCATGGGCTCTCTTAACTGCTTTTCGACAAAAAGCATTATCACTTGGTGTTTTATATCTTAATGGTTTGTTTATACGAATAAATTATCGAGAATCATTCATATTTAATGTTTTTTTTTCTTGATAATTTATAGCGGAACTTGTTGGATTCGATAAAGTGAAAAGAGTATGGGCTGATGGAACTATAGAAAATCAATTGGATAAAGCTTTAGTAAGTTGATCCTAATATGAATGCTACAATCGTGATACAACAGTTTCACGCAAAACTGTATACGTGTGAGTATTAGTGGGGAGTAGCTGGATGTAGGTGTAGGTGTGAAGTGTATTGGTTCTCTTTATCCACACCCAAATATACGTTTTCCCCATCCGTACACCAATCCTCCCAAAATATGTATATAACAGTTCCAGCTCAATGAGATCAGATCAAGACCTGGTTCAAATATTCAGTTGATGGAACTCAGCTGTCCAAAAAATTTTTTCGTTTTTTTTTTGGAACACCAGAATGCGATAGTCATCCTAAGGAATGCTAGAGACATCCGTCGGAGTGCTAATAGCATGTCTGATGAAGCTTCTAGCATTCCTGTGGATGCCTGTAGCATTTTGGTGTTTGAAAAAATAATGATTAAATTCTTCGGACAACTGACGTGATGAACATCTCCAGCACACGAGAGTTGCCACACACCTGCACCTTTCGCCATACCCCTATTTAAACACCCGCTCCACACATCTTTGGGCACAGTAGTGTCGATGAACCACTACAGTACTGATCAAAAATAAAAAATTTGACTTTTTTTTTCTATGATATTAAGCATTTAAATTAAATCCAAATAGTGGTTTGAATTGCCAATGAAGTTTTCTATCAAGTACATTTCATACCGAAATTTTATAGATAGACGATGAGAGAAAGGTGTCTGGAAATCGAACACGGTAGTTTTCGGATCCTAGAAGACTGAAAATTATTCTTTTAAGAATGCCATCTTTAAAAACATAAAATTCTGAATAAAATGAGGGGTTGCCACATTTCCTTGAAAAGTCATAAGCATGACAAAGCGAAATTTACCATAGCATTACCAAAAAAACGCATTTTTTCTTTTTTGTGATTCTGATAACTTTTTAACAGAAGGTCATAGAAAATGCAGCAATCTCTCATTGTATTGAGAATTTTGTGCTCTTTAAGTCGATACACTCAAAAACTGATTTTCACAGATTCTTCCAGAAACCTCCCTCTCATCGTCTATCCATGAAACTCTGGTATAGAATGCATTCGATAGAGAACTTCATTGACTATTCTAAGTACTACTTGGATTTGATTTAAATATTTAGCATTATAGAAAATAAAAAATAAAAATACTTTGACTTTATAATTTTGAACAGTATTGCAGGAACAATAACTATCAACGAATAGAATATAACATTCTTCATATGTTATGATTAACTATGTGGTGTGTTTGTATGACTAAAACGGGAGGTTTTTGTTTTTGTTGAAAGTAGTTATCATGAGTGTAGTTGTCCAAAATAAAGATGAATCATGTGCATATTGTGAATCATGATCGTAAATGAGTGTTGTAACACAGTTAAAAAGAGAAACATACTTGCGTCATAACAAATGTATACTGATGCAGATGACTTCTTTTTATAGATACATGACTAAGCTCCTTCCTTACATATAACTATGTTGGTAAAAACCTTTTCTTTGAGACTATTTGGAAAAATTTTACATTGAAAACTTGAGTAATAATTTTCATAACATTCTCTTACTGAAAATTTTTGTAAAACTATACATCTGTAACAACAACAAATATGAGTAATGTCATTGGCAATTGCTCTTCAATTATTATAGAAAATATTTCAAATGAATAAAATTTACATTCAGAGATTCTTATTTTCAATTGAATGATAAAAAAGAAAAAGCCTATTACTTCTTAAATCAAACGCAATTCTCATATGATTAAAATGTAAATCACAATGTAGCTGCTATTGTTAAGACAGTAGTTCATATATTAAAACGAGATGTTATTAATATACTGTCTTTGATTGGATATCAACAACACTTGCTACGGTCTTTAATGATCTCTAATTAGCATTTGTCACGGCCTATAGAAGCGAAACGTAAATTTTCATCCCTATCATGCTATGTCCTTTTAGAGTGTATTTCGAAAAATGTCATGAATTTATGACAAGAATTTTACTTATATCAATTAATACTGTATTTGTGAAATTACTTTCTCTTGATCGATAAGGATTATGACTTATTCCATATATAGCTTCACTCAATTATATTGACACGTTATTTAGATTCTATCTGCTGAAGATAATAGAATATATCCAATGGATACAACATTTGTTATCAATGCTGCTGGTCCTTGGGCTGGTGAAGTAGCAAAAATGGCTGGTATTGGTGTTAGTGATCAATATCCAGTTGCATTACCTGTTGAACCAAGGTAAAACAAAAATAATCTTATTATTTTTTTTATTTACATTTTATTTATTTATTTATTTATTTATTTATTTATTTTTACATAAAATAATGATTCTATTATTCATGATTACTTTCTACCAGACTCTCACTAGTATAACTACCCATTTGACGATAGGCATCATCTTCTTCCGGTGGAAGAACTTTTGATAATTTATAAATACTTTGTCGTTCAACAATCCATTTCCAAAATTGTGAATTATCTTTCGTATCATTAATAAAACCAAAACGTTCAAAATAATTTCGTAATTGTTGTCCATTTATATGTATTGTTAATAAACTTGCACCAGCTTGTCGTGCATATTGTTCAACACATTCAAGCATAGCTGAACCAATACCATGATTTCTATAAGCACTTTTAACACCAATCATTTCAATATAACATTCATCAATATTTGTTGGAATATAATTTGCTTTTCGTGTCATCCAACGATGCATTGATGATAAACAATTATTTTGTGGTTCAATATCTGATGTTTCGGATACAGTTGGTGATTCTTTTGGAAATAACATTGTTACTGCAGCTAAAACTTCACCATTAATTTTACCAAGAAGAACATTTTGATATTCACGTGCATTTGGATTCGAATCTGATGATGATGATGATGAGAAGGAAAAAAAAAAGAAAAGTATTGATCTTTTTTTTGTTTGTTCAAATATCTTTATTGCTTTTTTTACTTATTCGATTTTTCATTGCTACACGAAATCGTTGTAAATGTTCATCATCTCCAATATAACGTCGTAAACGATTATCAAGTGTTTCAAAATAAATATCAAGATAAGCATCAACATCAGCCGTACTAAATTGATGAATTTCAATAACATCATTATCACCACCTGTTGTATATGATGAAACCATTGTATTTTCACGATCAAACATTGATGGATTTAATGTTTGATCTATAGATTTTTGTTCTTGTTCATATGTATCCTCTTCATCTACAGTACTAGTTACTTCATAATGATCAGATTTCTTACTAAGATCCGTTTTTATTGAATTTGAATGTTCAGAATGAATTGATGTTTCTAAACTTAGTGATTGATTATTTTTTGAAGTTGAAATATATTTTAGTGATGGTGATGATGATGATGACATTGATAAATTTCCATTTTCCTTATTACCATTTGAATTAACTGGACAAAGTGGAGCACGTTTACCACGTTTTGTTGATTTAATTGGTGTAGTATTATCATCTACGATATTTCTACCACTAATTGTTGCTATAGGAAAACCATCTGCATCCATCAATTATAATTTATTCAGATTTAAAAATTGATTATAATAACAAATAACTTTTGAAGTGCAACTTTTTTTGTCTTTCTCTCAACCAATTTGAAGGACTATGATTGATATATAATGAGAGAAAAAAAGACTGTACGTAACAAACGAAAGTAGAATCATTCAAGCATTACATTCTTTGTATGACTATTCACTATGCTATTCAGTCTTATATGATAAGAAAAAAGACGTTGACGTTGATTAATTTATTCGTCTTTTTTCTTTTCTTTTCTTTTTTTCTTTTTTTGTGTCTCATTGATGAAACCATATTTGTTTGTCATGTGTGCAAGGTATTTTATCAATACGATATTATAAAAATAACATATCAATGAAGATATGAGTTAAATATATTTCAAGGTTTTTAAATTTATTTTATCAAATCATTAAATATAATTAATATTTAAAATATATAGAACTATATTAATGATTAATAATTCTATAAAAATTTATTTTATAATTTTTCTTTAGAAAACGTTATATATTTGTATTTGAATCATTGAATGGACCTGGTCCATTGGCTCCATTATTTGTTGATATAACTGGTGTTTATTTTCGACCAGAAGGTTTAGGAAATACATATATTTGTGGATGTAGTCCAAATGAAGTAAATAAACTCAAAAAAAAAAAAAAAAAGAGAATATTCTTTTTAAATATTAGATTAATTTTTGTATTTTTAGGAAAATGATATATCAGAAGATAATTTAGAAGTTGATTATTCTATATTTGAAGAACAAGTTTGGCCAGCATTAGCTAAACGAATACCAAGTTTTGAAACTTTAAAAGTAAGAATAGAAATAATAATTTATGTCCTATACAAATATAGACAAGTCACAATAGTAATATTAGATAAATTTCAACCGTACATCAGTTTGTACAGTAAATATAAAGATCTCATTGTTGATTCCGATGTAGGACTCTAGTATAGATATAAAATTTTCGATAAATCAATAGTCTTCGAATATAGAAAATATAACTCTATTAATCTAGTATTCAATATGTTGTCTAATGTTTTATACAATTCCATACTTTTAGTAATACTAACAAAAATTATCGTAAAATATTCAAAATAAATGTATTCAATTTTACATTTGATAGACGAATAATTTGATTATATAGTTGTATAGCAAAGGTCGAGTACTATATATACCGATTTAATACAAAAAAAGGGATATGAAAAATTACAGCACCATATTTTACTGATATAAGTTCATGAGGAACGACAGACTCATAGCTACTCATACACATACTCACATCGACATCCTCTACTTACGAGAGAACCTTTCCAGGTGTTAAATCGCTTTTCGATCAAGACGTTTGATGAATGCTAGTAAGGAATAGAAAAATCTAGAATGGTTTGATTTTCTGAACCTTCGTTCTTGAGATATTGAAAATTTTATTGGATTTTTTGAACAGAAAGCTATGGTTCCCTTCAGGTCATATGAAAAATCGATTTTCGACTTCAAACTTTGCATAAACAAAAAATCGGAAAAAAAAATTATCTCATATCTTCAGTACGACTATCCGATTCCGATTAATTAGAAAATTTCAAAGCCTGGTTCGAGTCAGAAAATTTTGAACCGAACGGGCTCTTATTTGGAATAGTCCATATCTCAGAATAGGAGATACTAGAAAACGTTATAACTTGTCCAAAGAATTAATCTCGTTGAAAACTTTGTTCGTACATAGTTTGAAGTTGAAAATTGATTTTCCACGTAATCTGAATGAGAGAGTACAGCTTTTTTTTGTTGACAAACCCAGTAACAGTTTTAGTATCTCAAGAACAAAGACTCGCAAAACCAAATCATTCGAGACTTTTCTATTACTCACTAGTGCTCATTAAATAAACATTTTCCGATCGAAAAGTGAAATCTTTAATCGTTCTACAACAGGCTACTTCAATGACCAAGAAGAGTAAAAGGTTAACAACAATCAAAAAATGAATAACTATTTACTATAACAGATGATCGGAAAGTTTTCAGATAAGATGTTTGTTCACTTTTGACTCGCTGGAAAGTATTTCTAATGAGTGAACACCATAATTTAATGCTCATTTCGAATATGATGGTCCTAGAAATTTTGTTTTCGTTTTTGTTCGAGAGTAGTAAAAAATTAATTTGAACGAAAAATTTTTGTATTTTCACTATTGAGATTCGAAATTAAAACTCTAGATCTTTGCATCTCAATTTTCATTTTTTTTTGCTAAATACTTCAATAAAAATCGACAAACGTTTTACTTTGAAAGTATCTCTGAAAAAAAATGCTTGTAGTCTCACTTAGGTAACTGTTACAGTTTAGTTCAATATCACATTCTACTAGCCGTTATTATATGTGAACATTAAATCTCATAGAAATTCTTTAAAAAATTTCTAGCTGAAAAATGCCTGGTGTGGTTTTTATGATTACAATTATTTTGATCAAAAGTAAATAAAAACTTTATTGAATTATTTCAAATAAAATTTAATCTTGATTTTTTTCTTTTATTACAGTCTTATTATTGGTCCACATCCACAACAAAAAAATTTCTTTTTTGCTAATGGTTCAAGTGGACATGGTTTACAACATGCACCTGCTATTGGTCGTGCTTTATCTGAATTTATAACGGATTTTAAATATACATCAATTGATTTAACACGTTTTGGTTTTCAACGTGTTGTTAATAATACTCCTATATTTGAACCGATGATTGTTTAAAAATAAAATATAAAATTTTATCAACAACGATTTTGATATTTTTTTTTTTTTTTTTTTTTTTGAAAAGATTGTTTTGTTTTTCATGAATATCATTGCATAAGAAAAGAAATAAAATTTTTTGCATTTTGTCTAATAGTATTCAAACAATACAACAATAAAATTTTATACAAAACAAAAAAAAAAAAAAGAAATGAATAATGTTAGAACAATCACCACATAGTGTCAATACAAAGCAAAAAAAAAAAACAAACTAAAAATAACCCATTTCCCCTCTTTTTATCGTTGAACAAAAAACAAAAAAAAAGAAAACACATGAGAATTTTATCAGCTAGATTAATTGACTAGATGTTGTTGTCGTTGCACTTGAAACAACTTCCATCCATCTAATTGATAAAAAAAAAACAACAACAATCGTAGTAGTAAAATAAAGATTAATTATTTACCGATCAAAAGCATATTGACTTTCAGCTCGAAAAAAATAAACATGATTTTTAAATTGTAATTTAAATACGAAATCTTTATTAACACCATCAGTTTCTGATGGTAATGAACTACGATAACCAAGTAATGGTAATGATGCTAATGGAAAATCATCCTTAATTTAAAGAATAATAAAAAATAAAAGAATAAAATTTTTGATACAAAAAATTACTTGATAAGTTTTATAAAAGAATAAACAAAAATTTGTAAAAATAACCCATAATTTTTGCCAACCATTTGAATTTTTAAATTTACGTAATAAATAACCACTTAATTGATTTTTAATTGCTTGTCGATGATCATTTATTGATACAGATAAATTTCGATGCCAACATACATGCATTGTTGTATTAGCACGATGTTGAAAAGATGAACGATCAATTTGATTAGAATCATCTTCATCAAGTGTACCAACTATAGAATGTTCAAGATTCTCAGATGATGCTAAAGAATATTAACAAGCAAAAAAAAACAACAACTTTATAATTTTATTTTATTTTTTTGTTTTTTACTATTGGATTTTATTGTAGCTGCATATTGATTTTTATAATCATCAATATTGATTTTAACATTTGCAATAGCTGATTTTAAATCATATAACCATTTATTCTTTTCAATTTCCGAACTAGAAGACAAAATTTACAAGAAGAATGAAATAAAACAAAAATTCTATTTTTAATATGAAATCAATGATTTGATTAGACTTTAGTTTTAACTAGACATGAGCAGGGTCAATCGCTTTTGGTCTCGATGAAATCAAGACTATCTTGCCCATATCTATCTAGAACACATAAATTGTGACAACATGACATTTGATGCAAGTTTTACACGACTATCAAAGATCTTGTTCCCAAGCATTGATCCTGATACCAGCCGAAAGAGAAATTTGATCCTGAGCCAAGTCAAAAAAATAAAATTTTGGTTTCGGTCCCGACTGAAAAAATAATTGGCTTTGGATCCGGTCAAAAAGAAAATTTGGTCCCGAGCCCAGTCGAAAAGACAATTAGACCACAGATCCAATCAAAAAAAAAGTTTCGTCCCGGTTCCGGGACTATTTTATTTATATCTAGTTATACGATGTACGATCTAAAAGTTATTGTTGAACTGAAAGACTCGATGTACAGACGAAATAGATTTATATCAAGTTCAAATTTGTTTGAAGTTCGGTAGTATGAAAATTTAGAATATTCTTAGGCAAGTTATGTATAAATATTATTTCGAATAATATTCAGTCTATGATGTGTGTTTACCAGATTGTGATATAGATCTAGCTTGTCTCATCTTATGAAATTAACTAGAGAATCTTACACTATATCATGAACTAATAGCTGAAATCGCAACTGTATAAGATTCATTTTATTTTTCGTTTCTGCAAGCTTGACATAATCTGTACTTAAAGTTTGCAAATTTATGTACCGAATCCGAACGTTTGGGTTCGATCATTTTCAATTAATTAACAAACGGAAGTAGAAATAAGCCAAAAGAAACGCTTTCAGACTTGGCTACGGTGGATCTAGACATAATGATGCAAAAATCGAAGGTATCCAACCATCCTAAAAAGAAGTCAACAGTGATCAGAAATACTCAAATATGAATTGTAGGATGTTTCTATGATTATTCATATACTTCAATAAATACTTGGGCAAATCCACGATAGTGTCTAAACTAGCTGATTAGTTTCCGAATTCGAACTTATTAACAAATATTTTCCTATGATTGTTTAATATGCCAGTTCATTCTAAAAACTAAATAATAAAATACCTTGCTGCAACAATTAATGATCGATTACCAGCATA